ACTAGTGAGAAAACCACTCATCAAGTCTTAGGGCATTTGACTGACAATTGGTGCGATATTTTAAAGATTTTTAGCTGGGCTTCCATTATTACTAGGCTCATAAACTTACAGGAAAAAGGGACATTGTACTATAGATGAAGTGGTAAACGTTCAGATTGGTTATTTAAAAGTGACAAGGAAAGAGGGCTTTCTTTAACTTTCCCCAACATTCCGACTGCTTGGAGTTATTAAGAAATTTTTCCATATTTTGTTCCCTTACTAATATAATATTTTCGAAGTGAATGCAAATAATAATGTTTTATTGGCTAAAAATGAGAAGAGAAAGAAAAAAGTTGAGAGCAAACTTTATTTATGCGAAATGCATATGATGTAATAAAACAGGACTTTGTAAATTTATTTGTGAAATACTTTTACTTTTAGATAAATGAATTCCTGGATCACATAACCTTTTGCTCCGTATATCTCTTCACGTTCTAAATCTCCTTATATCTGCTTTCAACTTGGCTGTTCTACAACTATACTTGTTCTCTTCTAGCAGCCATATTATTGTATAGGACAGACGTCCGTTCGAAATCTGCCAATTTTTATTTTACTTAAAAAAACAAGCCTTCAATAATTAAATTAAAAGATAATTAGCATAACTAAGTTATCCTGGCTAACTCCAGTTATCTTGATTGGTACGGAGTTTTAACAATGTTGGCGCATTTAATGGTGCGAGCTAATATAAATTAATAATCTTCTATCATCATTGTTTTAATTGGCTCCAGTCAATCAGTTTAAGTCAACTGGTCTTCGTTGCTGACAACCTGGCCTTTTTCCCTTATCAATGTCAAGAGGAACCTCTCTTCGTTGTACATCATATCGATTTAATGGTTAGTATGGCCGGCTCCAATGTTTTGCAGAATGTCCGTGAGGCTCTTTTTCCTGAACTGAAGGCAGCCCTTGAAGCTGCACTTGTCGCTCAGGGCCTCGCTGAAGCAAAGGCACGTGCTCAAGCTGAGGCAGATTGTCGAGCTGAATTAGCCACTCGCCAAGCTCGCCACGACGAAGCAGTTATGCGAGGAGATGTTACTGTGGCAGAGGTCGAAGCAGCTGGCGTTCAGGCTGCTGCCGATCGTCTTGAATCAATTAAAATGTTGAATGCAGCGGCTTCAGTATCCAACACCGGAGCCGGAGGGACTGTGACTACCGGAAGTAGCTCCGGCATGAGTACACTTCGATCTACTGCTTTGGTTTGTAAAGAATGTAAGCTTAAACTATATGAAATACTTACTCGCAAAGCATACGGTAATCTAAGGTGTGATGAACAATGAGCCTAATAAAAACGAGTAAACAAGTATATCATTTGGAGGTTAGTACACAAGAGACGAGGACATAGGAAGACCGGAGACTTGACATTATGGATAGAAGCGAGAAGATTGCGTTGGAGACCAGGGATAGTTGGCTAATGGTAGACGGTTTAGATCATAGACGTGGTCCATGAAGTAAAGGCTTGATCATGAGATTTATCCTGTTCACATGCCCGACAATGCTAAGGGAATCTGCAAGATTAAGTTAGTTTTCCATCTAGCTTCAAAATCCGCACTTTGAGGGGCTGCTCAGTTAGGCTGCCCTATGTATGCTATCAAAGGCTTGATACAGCATATATAATATAAGTATGAAATTTATTCATTCTCTTTCTTTTTAGGTGATTCGGGGATTTGTATTTGATATTTCCCGCAATGACATGAGTAGATATTACGTTTCGATTAAACCCACCTAGCCTTGCTTTCCAGGATAGACTACGGCTTCGACTTCACCTAGGTCTCATCAGCACCTTCAGCGGATTCGAATCATGATAGTGTAACAATTAATCTCATACGTTGATCTGTATGTCACATTGCCAGGAGTTTCCTTGGGTTACAAGGCAGATGTAAATTTCAAGAAAAGTAACGCATTTTCCCATAGCACTTTCGGTGAGAGGATAGTCGATAATGCAAATCTGTATTTATAGTGATTGGAGGATATAGGAAATGCGAATAGGCCAGGGCAGAATGGGAGATACCGTAAGTATTTAGCACACGTTTGGTCAAAGGATCGGCTTCACTTGTCTCTTTGACGAGTTTTAATATGGTGGTACGAATGGTAAAACTCACTGACGATGCCGACTACGATGCCGGCGAAACGTTTGGAAATGTACCACA